ACCCACCTACCGCCAAACCATGGTGCTTGCTTAGGTATGAATCTCCATTCAGTACCATGGCTGTGTGAGCGTCATTAACTGCCGTTAATCTCATGACTTGTTTAATGGTATTTGCTGCTGCGTTGAATGTTGTTGCGTTGTCTGATATCATTATATTGGGTTGGGATTTTCTACTTGTAAATCTTCTAAACGCTTGGATGGAAGTTTCTTCTGATAAATCTGGTACCAGCTCGAGATGGACAGCTCTTGTTGAAGCGCACTTAAATAGAGAAATATAAGCCTTATGCTCAATTCTAGGATTGCTGCGTACATACAATGCTCCCGAGAAATCAACCCCGGTGACTGTTATAAGAATCTTACACCGGCTGCCGGTACAGACCGGAATATCTAGCTCGAGGGTAACTGTTTACAGCGGTAACGAGGCTCTGCCGAGTTTCCGCTAAACAGTTACCTGAGAGCTAGATATTCCCGTCTGTACCAACAGCCGGTGTTTGATTCGTTTTCTTGCATATTACATGTTAATTATTTTCGGAACAGAAATTATAAAAACTGATATTCTCATTACTCACTTTTTCTTATAGTAGCGTATGAACATAGAACTTCATTCATAACGGAAAAAAGACGTCATCCTAAGAACGCGATTCATTCATAAAAGGCGCGCGTCAATGACGTCATTTAAAGCACGCGACTTGTCTTACATGGGGGGTGTAAGACAGAGTTTTCTAGCACCGGTGTAAACGGTAGATAAACCTGTCTGATATGCAAGAAAAATGGAGATGTATCTTGTTCTCTAATTTTTGGTAGGGGTGGTGGATCTGGTGCTGTATATGGTTTGCCTGTTACCTTTCGACTTTGAACGCATTTCCGTAGAAGGCTCTGTATATACTGACGGATAGATGGTATCCAGTATCTCTGTCGTAAATGTCGTAAATGCCTTTTAAATGTCTGTCGAGACAGCAAATCTGTGTAAGCGAAATCTCAGTTAAGTCATTTAATTCCGAGGGTGTTGATTCTAAACAATCGTTCAGACTATTCGGATTGGGGTGGTGGCTGAATCTTTTTTCACACCGTGATGTGGGATGTAGTGAACTCTTTTTTCTTGCATATCAGACTGGCGTTTCCATCAGTTTTACCCATGCCGGAAATTTCATCTGGCATGGGGGGTGCCAGATGAGTCGCGTGCCAAACAACAACGTCATTTTAGCGCGCTTTATGAATGAACCGCGTTAAAATGACGTCGTTTTAGAAGGGAAATATGTGCTAAGGATGACGTCATTTCGCCGTTGTTATTTAAGTTGTAAGTTCATACGCTATTGTTAGAAAATAGTTATGGATGAAATGACTTTAATTTCCATGAACATTTATCATATTGTGGTAAACCATTTTAAATATGAAATAATATGGCAGAATATGCAAGAAAAAATATCTAACATATGTTTGCGGTTCGGATCGGAATATCCGTCCCTCGGGAACCCGCCCATGGGCGGTAACTCGGCAAGCCTCGTCACCGCCCAATGGGCAGGTCCCCTCGGGACGGATATTCCGGTCCGAACCGCAACATATGGCAGATATTATTAATCTATATTGTTGTCTGTAACTCTCTCGATAAAGCCTCGATTTTCTTGTTCTGAGATAATTTGGCCATACTGCTGTAACATGTTTGTATCTTGTCGAAGGCGCCGGATTGTATTTTCCGTTCTTTAAGGAACAATGTTATAATTGTCAGGTAACACCGGATGGTAACGTTTCCATGGTAACTGTGCTGAATAATGTCCGTCTTTGAATTCAATGCATTTTTCCTGATAGTCGGTAGTCGGAGGTAGTCTCATCTTCTTTTTCAGGCTGAATACCTGGAGACTCTAACTTCCGGAAACGTTCTAGGTCATGTGTATCTGGCTTAGATATTAATACAATTGATATGGAGTCTGTAGCGGCATCAGTAGAAGAAACCGGAAGAGGACCGGAAAGCAAGTATCCTATCTTTGACTGGACAGCTGTGGGACAATTACCACGGATCACTCTATTACTGACAATATCCCAGTACTTATCTGCGCCAATCAGAAGTGATATATTGAAAGTGTTGTCATCTGAAACCGGATGCGCAAGTTTAAGCCCACGAAGATACGGAAGTGCTGTAGTGGCTTGCTGTACGTTTCTTAAGGGGACGGAAATAGTTGGGACAATCAGGACATCTATATCTGTCTTTTCTTTGGTATCAGTTAATAAATATACTGTTGTCGTATCAATATGACTTTCTTTCTTTGAAGATGAACCAAATGCTGCAAGCTCTACGACTTCTGCTCCCGTTCTTCTGAGTTCGAGTCTTTCTGCAAGTTCCTTTGTTACAAATGACCTCTGTGCCCCTTCGTCAAATAAAATGTTAACATCTGTACAAAAATTACCAGATGCAACTCCAGATGTTACTTTCGCAACAGCGGTTTTCAACAAAACGTTAGGTCTAGAATGTGAAGTAGAATGTAGTATTGCGGACTGATCACTTGAACCGGAAATGATTTTGAACCGGAAGTAGCTTACTCTCTTAAACCTGGAGTGTAACTTGGGGCTGTATTATTCAAATTACTATGAGGGGTTAAAGGCTGGGGATTACTGTCACAGATGCTAGTGTGGTGTTTTCCCGACAAAAACGGCATCGATGGTTCGATTTACATATGGCTACTTGGTGGCGTCCTAGACAATTAAAACATAACTTTTTATCTTTAACAATTTTCTTACGTTCAACAGTATTTGTTACCTTCCTACAGTCATTTGCTAAGTGATGGTCGCTGCAAAAAGGACATCTTGGACGTTCATCTCTCTTTTCATTTGTCTTCTGCAGTTTGCGTGCCACATTCGGATGAAATCGTGTCCCTGTTAGGAATGAAGCGGTATCGTTATGAACTTCACCTGTATGTAAAGATTGACCTGACTCCAGAATAGCTATCTCCTTTTTCAATGCTTTTCGTAGTTCTTGCAGTTGCCAGTTACTGTTTCCGTGGTCACGAGTCATGTTGCGTTTGCTTTCAGCAGGAAGATTCTGTTATACCACAAGGACAAGTAGATTGCCATACGAGTTTGACCTTGACCAAGTGACAACAATCCTCTAATATATGACTCCATTTTCTCTTGAAAATTTCGTAAACTATTAATGCCAGAGTAAGGACGGGGTAAAGCTAATAAACACTGCATGTAAGCGTTTATAATCTTGTGTTCGGAACTTCCTGTCCGAAACGTTCTGTCATTCTGTCAGTAGGCTAACGCAACTGCTTGTGTATAGTTTGAATGCGTTAACGGAAATCCCTGAATCACTCTAGCTGCATCGTCGTGGAGTCAAGATCTCAGATATGTGAACTTCTGTACGTCAGATAAAGATACGTTATTGTGTACACTTGACTCAAACGAATCCCAAAATGTCTGCCATTCTAAAATGTTGCCGGTAAATATAGGAAGCGGAAGTTTTGGAAGTTTGTGAAATTGAGAATACTGTCCGTTATGTATAGAAATGTCACTTACACGTACATCGGAAGTACTGTTGGTCGTGTTACCGGAAGTGTTCTCGACTGCTTCCAAGATTCGGATTCGAATCTTTAAATCTAGCATGTAATCTTCTTAAGCTCTTCCATTGTCTTCAAGTGCTGCAACTTAAGACTGTAAATTATGAAATATCGTCTGGAACTGAACGCAATCATCAGTAGAATTTTCTAACTTCTGCAAACGTCTGGAAATAACAGCTTTCTGAGCGGCTTTCTTCTTTTTTAGCTTATTAAGATCCATGTTTGTCTGTAATTTCTCACTAGTTCGTTACGGCACCAAAATGTGGGGTATAGACATAAGCTTCGCGTTGTGTCTTATTTCTATATTTTTAATATCTCAATAATATACAAGTAAAGCGGTAGTGACATTGATATATACGTTGACGTCATCTTGATTCCCGCCGTCAAGACGTCGTTGTTGTTCCCGCCTACCCATAGCGTAAGTCTTCCCGGCAATATACTTCATTTTTCTAACTATTTTGAGTATAAACATTCCTTTTTAAATGTAATTAAAAAAGGGCCGAAACGTCTCGCAGAAAAGTGCCGAAAAGTCCAGGGACCGATTTTTGCATACTCCATAGGGGCCGAATTGTTTTTTTTTCGGCCGAAACGTCCTGTTTGCTTTTGAACTGTTATGACTAGATAATGTTACGGAGATTTTTTGGCGCAAACGGCACATATTTAACTCAAGTTTGATTTTCATCAAATATTGTGGTTGGAGGCATGCAGCTTTATATATACTGTTTATTCGAATAAAATGATATAAACATTTGCTATGTTAATCCTGGACTTCAATTTGAGTGATTAAAATATTTTATGGCAGTTTTTGAAAATATAGTAGAAATGTTTCCATTTACTTACCGAAACATAACCCGAAAATTTGCCTATTGAATTTTACACGAAACTTTTTATTTTGAAACTACTTTAAATATATATATTAACATATCATTTATTTCAAATTAAGTAATAGAAAATACATCGACACATGAGGCTATCTAATTTGTATGAGGGGCGTAGCACCCAAGTATTAATTAGATTGCCGAGTGTTTTGATGTTCTTTCTCTTTTGTATCATAGTCAAACATAAAACACGACCCCATTTGTTACAATATGAAACCCGGAAAATAAGGAACCAATGAACGAGCATCTGAATATGATATTTTTGTCGTTTTCCCTTTCTCTGCCGTCACAATAAGTTAACCCTAGCAAAAATTCGCCGATCAATGGGCTTGCTCTGGAGGGCGGGTGCGCCAAGAAAAAAGTCCATTTCACCGGCATATAATCTTTTAAACATTTTAAAAAATGAAGTGTGATTCTATATTCAATATATTTAATAAATTGTATTTTGTTTAATAATTGTAATTTATAAAAAAAATCCCCAAACATTTTCGAACACAGCAGCAAAAAGACCTCCCGCATGCTCTTTGCTACCACTAAAATCTTTTTATTTTTAATTGCCGTATCATCCATTTCAGACAATGGCATATTATATTGATGTTGAGCATGGTGCGGCTTTCGAAGTTTCTTTGACATCAGAGGGATCTGAAGATTTTAATATTGTGAGTATTGCTAAAACAACAACAGAATCATACGACAAAATCAGTGACATAGTCACACATTAATAGATTAACCTTTCTTTTATGCTTTTCATAGGATCACTGATTTATCTGTAAAAATATATAGAGGATATTTGGTAAGTTTTAAGTAAGATCGTAATATATTTCACCGAGTGAGTACTAAAAGGTATGTTTCACAAGTGGCGCAGCGACAAGTGAAATATGAAATCTTAGTGTTCATGAGATGAAATATATTTCGATCTTACACTAAACTAAACAAATTTTCTTTTTATTATATGCAAAGAAACGTGAAAAAAGGCAGTTCAACCTGGAACTAAATGAAAAGTGCGCAAAATGATAATACAACGTGATGTCATGTACAACGTTACGTCATTAAGTCGGTTTCCAGTACTGTGAACGCTTGTTTTTTAATGTAACAACGTAACGGGCTCAAATATTCAAAACAGTGAAATTATCAAATTGATATTTTCACTGCTTAAAACAGTGAAATTATCAGTTTTTGTGTCACTGATATATTTCTATAAACCACCGAAAATCATGTAATAAATTTGATAATTTCACAGAGAAAAAAATATCAAAATATTTCGACGAGACTACATTTTAAGGTTTCCCCATATGGTACCTCATTTATATTTTTGCTGACAATTTTGACATTGTCAGGGCTGTTTAGAGAAAAGCAAAGTTGAAATTGATATTAAATAACTTAAAAATTCAAAAGTAATAAAAAGAAGAGAACTTCAATTCTTTCAAATTACTCATCACCGAATAGAGTTTCAAATTTTTTTGTTTTATCTTGAAGTCTGAAAATTTCAATTCCTTCCACATGCAACACTGCTCTTGATGACATTTGGACATATTTAAGTTTCCAACCAGTTATTGTTTGTTCCATTTTACATGTTTACACCTTTTCCCAACAGTATTTCAGTCATATAGGCGGGTAGTTTCCTAACCATCGTCCCTGGAGAGTTACACCAGTACTAGACTACCTTCCTCCGCGCTCAACTACCAAAGCATCTCCCGGGGATCGAACCCACGCCAGAGAGGTAACTGGATAAGAAGTCATCGACTCTAACCCCTCGACCACGGAAGCGGTCACGTTCCAACCAGTTATAAATGCCTAGTGCAAATGAAAACTTAAAAGCAATGAAAGTCATCAGCCCGAAGAACAAGTAAACAGCCCAGTGTCCGTTATGCAGCTTTTCAACAATTCAATATTTCCCAATTTCCTAACCGCTTTTTTGAATATTTAAACAACTGTCAACACTTATTTATTGTCTGCAACTTTTCTCAAATAAGTTTTCTTTCTTATAAAATGATGTATGACTAACAGATGCATATGATATCCTTTATTTCATGATCTTTTACTGTAATGTATCAGATGATTATATTCTATTCTAACACGACCCGCATTTTTCCCTATTGAACATAGAAGAACCGAAATATATTTCGATCTTACACTAAACTAAACAAATTTTCTTTTTATTATATGCAAAGAAACGTGAAAAAAGGCAGTTCAACCTAGAACTAAATGAAAAGTGCGCAAAATGATAATACAACGTGATGTCATGTACAACGTTACGTCATTAAGTCGGTTTCCAGTACTGTGAACGCTTGTTTTTTAATGTAACAACGTAACGGGCTCAAATATTCAAAACAGTGAATTTATCAAATTGATATTTTCACTGCTTAAAACAGTGAAATTATCAGTTTTTGTGTCACTGATATATTTCTATAAACCACCGAAAATCATGTAATAAATTTGATAATTTCACAGAGAAAAAATATCAAAATATTTCGACGAGACTACATTTTAAGGTTTCCCCATATGGTACCTCATTTATATTTTTGCTGACAATTTTGACATTGTCAGGGCTGTTTAGAGAAAAGCAAAGTTGAAATTGATATTAAATAACTTAAAAATTCAAAAGTAATAAAAAGAAGAGAACTTCAATTCTTTCAAATTACTCATCACCGAATAGAGTTTCAAATTTTTTTGTTTTATCTTGAAGTCTGAAAATTTCAATTCCTTCCACATGCAACACTGCTCTTGATGACATTTGGACATATTTAAGTTTCCAACCAGTTATTGTTTGTTTGTTTGTTCCATTTTACATGTTTACACCTTTTCCTAACAGTATTTCAGTCATATAGGCGGGTAGTTTCCTAACCATCGTTCCTGGAGAGTTACACCAGTACTAGACTACCTTCCTCCGCGCTCAACTACCAAAGCATCTCCCGGGGATCGAACCCACGCCAGAGAGATAACTGGATAAGAAGTCATCGACTCTAACCCCTCGACCACGGAAGCGGTCACGTTCCAACCAGTTATAAATGCCTAGTGCAAATGAAAACTTAAAAGCAATGAAAGTCATCAGCCCGAAGAACAAGTAAACAGCCCAGTGTCCGTTATGCAGCTTTTCAACAATTCAATATTTCCCAATTTCCTAACCGCTTTTTTGAATATTTAAACAACTGTCAACACTTATTTATTGTCTGCAACTTTTCTCAAATAAGTTTTCTTTCTTATAAAATGATGTATGACTAACAGATGCATATGATATCCTTTATTTCATGATCTTTTACTGTAATGTATCAGATGATTATATTCTATTCTAACACGACCCGCATTTTTCCCTATTGAACATAGAAGAACCGAAAGTGTGTGTTATTATGCTATAAAATCACTGTTTGACGTTCTATATTTAGACATGTGACGTAATCATTAAACACGTGACGTAACCACTAAAAATGTGACGCGCTGACAATAAGTACGGACACAAATCAGGAGCAATTTAGCTAATTATCATGTACGGGCAGCATTTATTTGTTGATGTCGTGTTAGAATCGAAATAATTTATCCAAATCGGTGATGTTATTGCTTGATAACATCACTGTTTGTCGTTCGGATGCGCATCATTATACTGTAACCCAACGAATATTCGCGACCAATTAATATTCGCTTTATTCGCGGATGGCCACGAAGCGCGAATATTTGTTTGCGCGAATAAGTCCGCACGATTTCGCGAATAAATTGGAGAGAAATTTTTATTTTAGACGTTGTTCATGCAAAGCTACTTGACCGGATATATTCGAATTATACGGACACCTGTTAGGAAGTAATGAACTGTTATGAATATTGCCATAAAGCAATAAAAACACAAACTAAGTAAACTACTACTATTTCATAAATATCAAAAGAACTCTATGTCAATATAGCAATCAAAATAAACATCCACATTTTAATACAATTTATGAAATACTAGTAGGCCTATTGTCAATCACGTTCCGTATAGGGTACTATACGGAGCATGTGTCAGTTTTAAGTTTCTTCATATTTAAATGTTTGAATAAATCGTTTGACAAAAGTGGGAATACTATCGAGCATCACAAAAGGCTATTGTTTTTTGGATCCTATAAAATAATTGTTTGAGTGAATTGTTAAGACAAAGGTGGTATATACCTATCGAGCATCATAAAAGGGTATTGGGTGTTAATAATTACAAACAGTGAAATACAAGATGGTTTCATACTAGTATCGATTTTTACCCGTCAAACTTAACAGCCTGTATAGCTCAGTTGGTTAGATTGTGGACTCATATAACATAATTTTCTCGGCGTGGGTTCGATACCTGATTGGAGACTTGGTGATAAAATTTCAAATACAGCTTCGTTTGCCGCTTTAATCATTTTTTTCTTTTCTGTTGTGCTCTCCAGATCATGATCAGGCAAAAACGATGCCGAAACATCCCTGCATTCTGAGGGTTTATTTTTTATCAACCACCCTTTTAACGACATGTTTAGAGATGAAGACGAACGATGCGTACATGTACATATATAGAGAAAATGTTTTTGCTGAATTGTGATCACAATTCACTTACCAATACAACATAAGGCTAGCGTATTGTTAATCCCATTTAAGACACCAATAATGACCTCAATTTTTGAAGATTAATAGTCGGCTAATGGATTTTACGGTCCCATCGGACTTTCCAATACGCGAATATTTTTTATTCGGAAATCAAGAAAACGCGGAAATTAATATTCGCGAATGTGTCCGACCTCGGCAAAACGCGAAAATTTGTATTCGCGAATATAAATTGGGTTACAGTATCACTCGGGCTACGCCCTCGTGATATAATTCCCCGCATCTGAACTCCAAACAGTGATGTTATTGAGCAATAAAATCACAGTTTGGGAATAATTATTTCTTAAATAAACCACCAGTGAAATTTATAAATATAATTTTTACTGTAGCCGGACTATATCTGAATGCGGATGAAAAGAATATCATTACACAATGGTATAACAGGCAAAAATAAATGCCGTCATACGTAAATTTAGCTTCTTTAGGAAAAGAGTGGATGTCACCATACACCATTTTTAAATGTAACAAAATTAGAAAAAAGTGTAGCAAAACTATTATTTTTCAAAACTGATGATTTGATGCCATGATGTGATGACGTCATCAAGGAGAATGTACGACGTTACGCGGCAAAATCAGTAAAAAATATTAAAGGATTTAACTCGATACAGGATTGGAGAGGTACCTCTATACGCTTGCAGAAATCATGTTCACAAAATAGACGAATTATATCGTTTTTTCGCCGATTTTTATATTTTTCATTCCTTTATACATAAATCGGTGTGAAACGATGTATTAGACCTGTTAAAGTACATCCAGTTGGGTAAAAAGGCAAGATTTTAGCATTTTATCATTCAAGCGCTTTGTCCGATATATACCGGAATAAGGTATTTAGTGTGGTGCTCTAATCCTTTTTCTGTCTCACTCAATATTTAAAATCACTTTAAAACATGAAAAGAAAATTTATTTGTTTTACATATAAAATTGAAATACATTTTATCGTGAACACCAGCTACGCCACTCGTGAAAATATTGCATCTGGTGTTCACTTACTGAAATATATTTCAATCTTACATGCAAAACAAAAAGTATCCTCTATATGAATCAACCACTATTATTC